TCATACCTATATAAGACTCCGCCCCCGCTTGTAACTTACTCTTAACCTTGATCTAGTCAATACACCGGCTACCTAGCCGCTTGCCTTGGTCTATACGCTCGCCCCTTTGTCGATGTTAGTAAGCGGCCGCCTAGCCGTTGCTGACATCGACATACGTGCCAGCACGTACAATGGGCCATTATTCTTGAACTTCATACAAGGGCTACTCGACAATATGAACCCATTCCCTCTACCCAATTCCGTCATCATCATGGATAACGCCTTTTTCCATCACGGCGAGCCTATTTGGGATGCTATCGAGTCCCGGTAAGCAATTCACCTGCATCGCGCGGCGAGTGTCGTTCACGATCTATTCAGGGGCATGCGGCTCGAGTTCCTTTCGCCATACTCACCGGATCTTGATCCCATCGAAGAAGAATTTTCTGCTATGAAGGCTTGGTTGCGCCGTAACCAGGATGTTGCTCGCGGAGAGCTCTCGGGAGAGCCTTCTGCCGACCCGTTTGAGTTGATTCGTACCGCCGTTTTCGACTCTATGACACCGGACAACATCGCCGGTTGGTATCGCCACAGTCACTACACAACGTAGACATAGTACTGTCGCTTTTTACGATACACACACCTTTTTATAAATATGTCTTGTTTGCTTCATTGTACAGAAATATGTGCTCGGCTGCAAGAACTCTACGGTGGTGATACACAAGAAGGGAACGAACAAAGGTACACAAAATTGATGGACAATCACGACATAGGTGCCTTCGCCTTCTGCGCACGTCGCATGAGACGCGCAGCATGGGACACGAGGTTGTCGGCAGCAGCGGCGGGAATGTCGAAGCAAGCCTGAATGTCCTCACGCAAGTAGCGAGCCACCGCATCAACATAGAAAACTCCCTGCTCGTGGAAACGATGCAAGTACGACGGGTAGTTCTGAGCAGGGGCAACCGAGTGCAGCTCAGCAAAAAGCTGCTCGATGAGTGGGTACGCGATGAGGACGTCGTCGTCATCATCAACAAGCATGGGCGACGATGTATCACCGGGCAATGGTGCAGAGAGAGCGGGCATCGCACTAGAAGTGGGCTGGATCGGAGCGAATGATGGAGGGACATGTACATCAACCTGGATGTTCGGTTGAGGGCGCAAAGTCGGAACTTGGCGCGTTGGACGGGTCAGCCGGTCGTTCAATCGTAACATCTCCGGCGGCGACTCGAGGCCGGCCACATCTTTCGCCTGGTCAAAATTAGGTTAGGGCTGATCACAGCACAATGAGAACAGAATGAACGAACAATGGACTCGGCCCAATGCGTGAGCATGGCGACATCGAGAGTAACATGATCGCCCGTGCAAGGATCGACATAGCACCACTGGCCATTGTGTTGTGCACAAGCCCACCGCTGCCGCAGCGCTCGCATATTGCAGAGGAAGCTCGAGGAGTTCTCGAGGTTCACCCGTGCGTCATGCTTGCGCTTCCTGCTGCGCGAAGATTCCGGTGCATCAGGTTGATGGGATGCAGCGATGTGCGGAGGGTTCTTCGCAACATTCAGCCAGATATTCAGCAACAGGACATATGAAAAAACATACCAAGTTGTGGATCGAGACCGATACCACGCGAGTGCGAGCGTGGCGTTGGATATCAAAGCCAGTATTGAGAGCCTCACGAAGATGACTATCCGAAGATAGTTCACGAGGCAAGTCCCGGGCCTTGTCGTTGTCGAATTTGTAGCCAAGTAGAGCCTCGCGCTCGGGTAGGTCCATGATGGAGCAGACACGGGACCAGAAGATGTGGAAAGGCACGCTGCGCTTGAAGCGCACGGTCTAATGGCGTACACGGCCACCCACGATGGTCGTCTCGCGAGGTACGTTGAAAGGAAGAGTCGCTATTGCCTTGTCAGCTCAAGCTCAGATAGATGGCAATGAAGCACGTACCGACATCTACAGGGGTAGAGGCCGATGACGCCGATGGAGGTAATACAGTTGAAGACGAAGGAGCCATAGCCATAGGTGAAGACAACCAAGCTTGAAGCGCAGATGGTGGGGCCGTGACTGTAGGCGTAGTCGTAACAGTCGTAGAGGAAGTTGCCGCAGATGTAGGTACGAAGGTAGTCAGAGTTGGACCGGTTGGCGCAATCGGTGGTGCGACTGGCGGTGCAGCAGGAGCTAGATAAGTGTCAGATATAGCCAAAAAATAAAATAGAAGGCCAGCAACTTACGATTGGCAGCCGCCATTGCCGCCATTGCACTTGGCACAGATGGCGCCGGGTCGAAAGAAATGTCCGGTCCATGGCCCACGAGCTCGTCGCAATGACGAGCAGAGTATGGTGGCAGAGGATCCCCATCAACCTCCATTGAGTTGGAAGATAGAAGTGGTCATTGCACACGCGGGTGTAATGGAAAAGGGTCGTCGTCCAATAATTTGGTTAGATCGATGACTGACCCAGCAGGCGAGCCTTGCGTCGACACGTCCGAGGCAATAGAAGGAGTAGGCGAGACGTGGTCGGGAGTGTCGAGGAGAGGAAGTTCGGCAGCAGAGGTACGTTTATAATCAATCTGCTGAGCGAAGAGATCATCAGAGTGATCAGTGGTGGTGGACGAGTTGGGCGTATTAAAAGCGGGCATGGTGAAGAAAGATTCTGGCTACTCAACGTGCACAATGTGTAGCTTTTATATGTGTCAACTAGAGGCTCTAGGCCATCGCAGGCTTGTCTTAGTACTCGTCATGGCTCTAGATGCAGTGGTCAGGACTTGCGATGGGCCTCTCAAGGGAGTGAAACGGCATACAGCGTAGAGCGCTGGACGTCAACAGAAATGTCCGGACGTCAGATGAAATGAGCCGACACGGCTGCAATGTCTCCCATCAGTGTGGTGATAGGGATGTCGTGCTATGTGGTGCACGTACACAAAGAGCGTCCTGTGCACATGCAATATCATGGAAAGGGAGGCGAGAAACGTAGGGGGAGGAGGACGAGAGGGCGAGGGCGAGGATGGGCGGGGAAGGCAAAAGGCACTTCGTCCGAGTTGCGTTGGCTCACACACAAGCAGTACGCATCACGCCTCGTGCTCTGCCTCATGCCCTTATGGCGTTTTCAGGGTATCTCAGAGCTCCAAAATGTAAACAACTTGTGGAGTGAGCATTTTTCCAAAAGTCGGCCTATATTTTTACAACATGCTGTAAGGGGGTGTTTCCCTGATGTAACATGTAATGCTTCGAGGGTCTGAACTTATGGCTATAGAACTACTGTATTCCAGCCTCATTGGTAGCATGTGAGTGCCTCATCTGAGCAGCAAAATAGATTGCGACTCGCAAGCACTCTTGGCTTGTGCCGGAAAACCCAGATGTTCCTTGTCAGTCGTGACAACGCGTAGTCAGGTCTTGCCAGGCCTGATAAGATATGGAGCCTGATAACGTCCCACAAGGGGAGATCAGGTGTAGCGAGGCCTGGCAAGGCATTGCAAGCGTTGCGAGGCATAGCAGGGCATTGCGGGCATTGCAACGCTTGGTTAGGCTATCTAGAATACTACTGCTTATACACCTTGCACTTCAATTTTCTTCCTCAATAATCACACAACATGAGTATGGGCAAGATATTGAATATGGATCTAAAACATACATATGTACATGGAGGACACGATGGAAGCAACATAGTGTACCACAGATACTAGTACTAATACAAAAGCATACAGGGAGATGTACATACAAGGCACAGCGGCGTAAGTACAATATGAGCATGCAAAACAACCGAAGAAATCATGCTGCGCTACAAGACCTCCTACTCCGACTCGATGGTTCAGGTACAAAGCAATTGTGTACCGGTAGTGCCGGCACCAGTGTGCATGGGCTAAGATGAATGCTGAGCCCAGAAGCCACGCGATGTGCGAACTGCGAAGGGAGTGGACGAATGGTGGTGCGGGCACCCAGTGGCTTCATGCGAGGGGGCGGTCGGTGCAGAAGGGGGAGGATGGAAGGCGAGGGCGACTTGGTGGTTGAAGCGAGCTTGCGCGACGTCTTATTCACCGTGTGGAGCGTGCACCAACTTGCTTGGCACGGCCATCCGACTCACTCTCACTCACCGCGTCAACAGCAGATTGCCACCCTGTTGGTTCCTTTATACACTACCTTTCTTGTCTTGCTGTACAATGCGGCTCGAAGGCTATTGCGTACAGCTATATCTCTGCCAAATGTGTCGGTGAAGACGGGAGAATCGGGTTGCTGGCGGGCGGTCAACGTGTCCCCACTCGCCGACAGCGCAGTACTGTACAATCACTCGGGCCTTCCCTACAAATGGCCAAACATACTACTATGAGTGCTGTATGTAGACCATGCATAATGGTACTAGATCTTGAGCACGGTGCTCTTCTCTGTCTGGCCTTCGGTGCACCGACAAATCACTCCGAAGGCAAGGAATCTACATACCAATCAACTGTCTTGACTGCGATATGTACCTATGTACTCACGGTCTAGTATACTGAATGATCCATTTTATGACATCAGTATTACAGGGCTCAGTGCAAATGATACAATGGTGAACTATTTGTGTCGCTGTATGCATGTTCACTGATGATTCATGACCTGCTGCGGTTCGCAGGACGCCACGACTGGGACGCCGCGACTGCGGCCCTCCACGTGCGTGTCGACTCTCACCGCCCCACCCTACCCACTATACAGCCTTCAGAAAGGTTGTCAATCGGTCTATCCCAGGTCACCCAGTTTGGCCTCACGAGGCCTTATCACACCTTCCCATGCCACGCAGGCCACCTTATTACGCCTAGCAAGGCCGCCAGGTTTCGCAATGTGTGATAAGGAAATTGCGGGGTTTCTGGCATGGCTCTGAGTGCTTTGTACAGCTTCAAATATTGAAGTTCTCGAGATGTGGAACTATGTTTGACTACACCAAGAGCTCAGCCATCTCATTTTGCAATCTCAATTGCTTACTCGCGTGCCATTGACATTCCGAGAGCTGACAGCCAATCAGACTGCTTCTATGTCCCATGCGATCAACCCAGCTTGCCTCTGAATAAGATAGACATTATATTGAATATATAGTAATATATGTATGTACAACTTATCGATATGGAGAAGTAATGCATCGTATGACTATGGGAGTGTAGGGGTATGAGTACTTCTGAGGGTATTGAGGGCACAGTGAGGGTAGAAGATGGTGTGAGGAGATGATGAAGATGGTGAAGGTAAGGAGGGTCTGGTGGCAGTAGGGGACTAGTGGGTGTATGAACAACTGATGTACAACAAGGTACGCCGTATGTAAAAGTCAGAGAAGATGTGTATGAATGGATGTGCGGATCACACGAGCCCAATGTTTCTCGATTACAAACTGCACAATCTGAACTTTTTCGCAGTAGCAAAAGAAGACGGAAATCAGAGACGTTCACGAAGCCGTACTTGTGCAGGATCGGAAAGCCTATTATATGTATACGTTCAGCGGAGAGTTTTGAGCGGGTCGAATCATTCACTGCAACAAGCATTAGAAAAAAAGGAGGGAGGGCATAAGCAGATGATACATTGGCTCACCTTAGATAGCTTGCGTGTCGCCCTTGTCTGTCAGCAACGGCTAGGCGGCCGCTTACTAACAAAGACAAGGGCGAGCGAGTTAACCAAGACAAGCGGCTAGGTAGCCGGTGTATAGACTAGATCAAGGTTAAGAGTAAGTTACAAG